CACTGGGAGATTGTGTCTGGTAAGGAACAGCTTCTGGACTGCAGTCTTTTCCTGATGACCTCACATGGTAGAAGGGGCAAACAAACTCTGTCAGTCCTCTTTTATAAGGGCACAAATCCCATTCTGGAGGGCTCCACGCTCATTATCAATCACCTTCCAAAGATCTTCTCCTCCTATTGTATTTCAGAAGATTTTAACATATGGACCCTGCTAAGGTGGTGCAGTTGGTACAGAGTTGCTACATGATATTCAAGCTACATGGGACGCCCAGGTTCAGATCTTAGGTTGACCTGAACACAGTGGGTGTGCCTGCACATACCTGTGGTCCTGGCTGGTGGGATCATAGCATGACTAGATACTGTCAGGTACCTGTCTGTCTGTCTGCTCTCTCTCATGAAAGAAAAAAACTTAAAAGGCAAGGAGGAGTAGGCTAGTGGCATGGTGGTTAAGACAGCAGGATTTCACATGGCCAACAGCTTGGTTTGCGTTTCAGATCCGAAGGCTTAAAAACACACTGGTATGGGGACCAACAGTTAGCGTAATGGCTATGTCGCTGGACTCGCATGTAGTCCTAGACCCGGTGGCTTAAAACTCACTCCGGGCGTGTGGGCACATGTGCCCAAGATCTCGAGAGGCGAATGGAGGAGAAGAGATTGCAGTGTGGCCATCCCCCCTGGGGGGTGATTTCTTGCTTTCTGTCTCTCTGTCTCTGTCTCTGGCAAGCGCGCACGCCCCCTATAGCAAAAATCTCTCAAAAAAAAAAAAAAAGAAAGAAAGAAAGAAAAAGAAAATACCGGTATGTATGCATGCATACCCAAAATCCCAAAAGGAGAAATGGAAAAGGAACTGTGGCAAAACCATCCCCCATGCAAGGGGTACTTTCAAACTTCTCTTCTCTTTCTCTCTCTTTCTCTCTCTCTCTCTCTCTCTCTCTCCCTCCCTCCCTCCAGGGAGAACACATACCCTCTAGAAAAAAAATTTTTAAATGTTGCACACAAATTTTGAAGAACACAGATTCAGACTAACACTAAGGGAAAGTAAGGGTCCCTGCAAACAGAACGAATAAAAGAACATAGAAAGAGTAACTACATAGACAAAAACTCAGAGTTCATGCAAGTTATAGAGGATATAAGGAAATTATTTTACATCATTCACTTATATACCATAGTACTTAAATATCTTTCCACTATTTGGACACATGATAGGTGTTGTGATACAAAGGATAAGAGAGTCAGAAGGGCTGCATGTCTAAAAGCTTTATCATGAAAAGAAATTAACTTAATTTCAAGTCAAGTACTATAATTAGTTTTATGACCTACAGTAAGTAACCACCTGTCTCCACAGCTACAGAATGAGAGGGCATGTTAAAGGTATCACAGTGGCCTCTACTCGTGCCCCCTTTAAATAATCATTACTAGAGTAAACCACGGTAAGTAGCAGCGATTCAAGAATAATGAGATGGCAACAAACTAACTGGGTTAGAGAAACTCTCCAGCATCTTCTAGAAAAAAAAAAATTCTAAATTATGTAATAGAATCGTAGCATCAGTGGATTTAGCATACTTTTTAAAATAGAATAACAGTATTCAGCTTAACATGTTTTTTAATCAGAGGATATGAAAGTGGACATTCTGTTATTTTCATTTTTGAACTCTGAATTTACCATGCATTATAATGTTACATAGCACCATGCTACACAATACCACAAAAAGTTTTAATATTAAAATAAAACAGACCTCAAAACTGAATAGGCTATAGATTCCTTATCTGCAGTTTCAAAATCTGAAAAGAGCTCTGAAAATTCATAACTCACTTGGTAGTAAAACCTTACCTGAACTGACGTGAAGCTATTTATAGTCTTCATCCCATTTAGTGTAAACATTCATACATTTTGCTCAGAAATAGTAACATGTTTGAAGAGGGTACTGCACTAGACTGTTGAAAGTTTACATAACATTATCACCTGCCTATATCCAAAAAACTCTTCATTCCTAAACCTATCAAACTGAAGGGTTTTAAATAGTGGACTGGTAATCCCATAACATTTACTGAGCCACGATCTGTGTATCAGGCACTATTCTAATAACTTTATATTCACTAACTCAATTAACCTTCTCGAACACCATGAAGGTAGGTGTAAAAATCCCTACCATGCAAAGGAGAAAACTGAGGCACAGAAAGATTAACTGCCTAAAGTCACATTAACTCAAGAACAACTAACTAAGATGAATACATTTTAAATATTACACATTAACTTAAGGAAAGCACGGAAAAATAGCAAATCGATGATGGTAAGGTGGTAGGTGTGACATTGTAAAAAGGTACAAAACACATTATGTACTCACAAATTCTCATTTATGTGCAATTTTCAAGTCGAAGTGCATAAACCACATAGTATAAAATCCAAATTCCTCAGTTTATGCTAATATCTTTACTTTTTATTGAAAAATAACATCTTAATATTGTTTTAATTATAATACACAATAAACCATATCCATTGCAGAATTTTTAAAAATTGGATAAAAAGAAAATAATCAACTTATATAACCATTTAACAATTTGGCACATGTTCTCCCCAATGTCAACACATTTTTGTTTCTTACCAAAATAGAATCATGTTTTTAAATCTACTTTTTTCACTTACATAAAACAAGACATCTTTTCATGTCTTGGCATTCATCATTTTAATGGCTGGGTAGGTAGTATCCCACTTTAGGATGTACCCTAATCATCAATGAACCCTAACAACATTTAGGTTGTTCAGTTTTAGGGCATAGTGATCAAGAGTCACACTAGCTAGATTCAAGTGCTGGCCTATAATTGCTAATTATAAACTCAGCTCGGGCAAGCAGCCTCATTTTCTCTACTGAGAAATGGAAACAATGCTATTCCCTTCACATGACTACTGTGGGGGTTAATGTGTTAATATACAGCTTGTATTATCAAGAACGTCCAACTCAGCTCTCTCCCCCAAAAAAGATTAGCCCACCAAGACTAAACTGACAGGTGACTGCACCAAAGCATCTTCTCTGACCAACACAAGGAAAACAGGCCATAATACTAATGTCAACTAGTACCAGATCCACCTCCTAGAGAGCATTGATGGAACATCTTCAGAAAAATTAGGTATAATACTAATTACAGTTGTCCCAAAGTAGACATATCACTGCAATAGAAACATTATGATTATTAGTTGGAAACTCATGGGGACAAAGGAATAAATGATGCTCATTAGAAAAATAGGTTGCCCTGAATTTCAAAGTTTTGTTTGTGTTTTTCAATGTTTGCACAGTGAAAGACAAAAAATGGAGCCCATCAATGTGCTCAGGCTACTTTCTAAGAGGGAATGAGTAAGAAACCTCATAAACCCTCAAAAATGAACTCATGATTTGAAATTCCATGTAAAAATTTCTGAGTTCCTCCTGAGATGTTTATCTGTTGCTATTCCTAACTTACCAGGTACTTAAAGGCTAAAAACAAACCAAAAAAAAGTGCATTCTTTAGGTGCTATGGACTAGCACAAAGACTCCTTAAAAATCAGGGGATGGGAGGAAATAAAGTCAAATAAAATTAAGCAAGATCCAATCTATTTTTCATTTGAACAGCAAACATTAAAAATACACCTGGCATTTTCTAACAATTACATGAAGAATGACCAGATGCTTCCTGTTGATGGAACAGTAGAGAACTACAGATTGACAGATTCAGACTAGAGTTCACAGAAACTGGAAATAAATTTAGCTTCCTTTCAAAACCTTTAAACCAAAGTTAATATGGCCTTAAGTTTTATTACAGTATAACTGCGAAAAACCCACATTGATTCAGAGAGAGCTATAAAGGTACTATATGCAAACTACTCTTTGTTCACCAAATTTCTTTTAAATCTGGAGCTCCTACAGTGTCCTATCTTCAAAGATTACATTTACTCACAAGTTTTCACAAGCATATCTAATGTGGAATTCACGGTTTGCATGTGTACATCATTAAAAGTATGTACTGAAATTAAAAGATGAAGTTTAATCACTTTTCTGTTTCCAAATGTTCCTGCGTCTCCAGCATCACAGATTATGCAATCTGTGGTATCATGATTATCTTGTCTGTGACATCATGCCCCTATATTCCAATTTTTCTTTAAAAAGCCACTAAACAGGGGACCAGCAGTTAGCATAATGGCTATGTTGTTGGACTCCCATGTAGTTGACCACAGTTCGAGTCCCGGACCCCGTGGCTTAAACTCACGCCGGGCGCGTGTGCATGCGAGCGTGCGTGCGTGCCCAAGATACCGAGAGGAGAATGAAGGAGAAGGGATTGCGGCGTGGCCATTCCCCCTGGGGGGGTGATGTCTCATTTTCTGTCTCTCTCTGTCTGTCTGACGAGCAAACGAGCCCTATAGCAAAAACCTCTCCAAAAATAAAGCCACTAAACAAAATATAGAAATAAATTTTTTGTAATTATTTTATTTACTTATTATTTCAATTTAGTATCGGGCTCAGGCACTCACCAGAGACAGAGAAAATGTTAGAAAGCAAGCTACCAGGTCCAGGACTCAAACCAGTCAGCCATGTGGAAGTTCAACACCCCCACCACCACGCCACCTGCTGGTCCCGAAATAAATCTTTCTACCCATATGCTTTAAAATGTGTTTTGTATGATATCCTGATTTGACTTATCTGGTGAAAGCAGGACAAGAATGACATTTCTGTTTTAAAAAAGCATGAGTCTCCAGTGGGATATCCCAGAAGTTACATGGTGTGAAATCACAACAGGCTGAACACAGAAGTGGATTTAAGAATATAGGTGCCTTCTATTAAACCAGGCAGTAAAGATTTGCAGGAATACAAAACAATGTCACTCTTGCCTAAAATGCATGTTACCATGTAATGGATTTTTTGTTCTTGAAAAAAAAAAAAAAACAGAAAGAGAAAAACAGTTAAAAACAGATAAAGTAGGCTTCAGTTTCCCCGAATTCAAAGTCTGAGCCTGAAAGTTGAAGTGTCAAACCTGATGGCAATATGTCAGTGAGAAGAAATTTAAACCAAGTGGGTCTGCATGGAAAATGATCCAGCTGAAAAAAAAAAAAAAAAGGATGTCTAACTACTAACTTCTCCACAATGAATTAGGGTGCATCTTTACATCTGGAATGGCAAACTACTTCACGAGGATCACTTATGGACTACAGCAAACTTTTTTCCGAATAGAAATCGTACTTGAGAAAGTAACTTGCCTGACTCGAGACAGTCAACCAACGCTGGGAGAACTTAAAATACTTGCACATTCCCAAACCCCTTCAGAAATACTGTGGTCTCTGTCCCTCCTTGGAACAGATGTCTCTGCACCGCAAAGTCCAATCAGGTTTAAAGCAGGAGTTATGTATTCTGAAAACAAGCTTAAACTGGGGGGAAAAAAAAAAAACACACACACACACAAAGCAGGCCTGTATCACTCTTCGGTTTCAGTTTTCACGATGCACCCTTGAGGCTAGGCACGCTGATTCAACACGGTAGGAGAGCTTCGACGAATCACACTACACACACAGATTTACTGTGGCCAGGCAGATGACCTGGCAAAATTCGCAACTTCTTTCCCGAAGCCGTGCACCCGTGGGTCCCGGCGGCGAAGTCTCCGGGGCAGAAGTCCCGAGCACTTAGAACAGCAGGCGTCGTCCCCTCAGGACTCCAGTCCCCGCGACTGAGCTGTCG